TCGTTTTGTTAGTTTTGTCCTCCTAGGACCACCCCCCACCCCCCCCACCCCCCCACCCCTGGCCACTCGCTGCCAGTCTCCTGTCGCATTGCTGGCTCCGTGTAGTCGTCTGGTCGACGGGCTGAGTGGAGGTCTGGAATCATGGCACTGGTGATGGCCATGAGAGTTGCATGGCGATCATGTGCATGTGTGTGTTTGTCTGGATCTCGGGAAAGGAGCAGGGGGCGCGGGGGGGGGGGGGGGGCGCGGAGGGGCAAGGGTCTGCTGGTCATGAAGAAGTATCGGTCCGTCGGCGGCCAAGGGCGTCCATGCCAAACTCACATGTTTTTGCAATACAGTTGGGTTGTTCTCGCCGCCTCTGTGCTCGAGGTGCTCGTTGCAGAACTGCCGCAGCATCTGGCGCTGTTTGCAGCCGATGTGGTGGCTGTGATCGAGATGATGCTCGAGAGTAACGTGTACGAGCTGCAGTCCAAGGGCGCGGCGGTGTTTGTCACCTACGCTTCGCACCTGGACGCCGAGCTGTACTCGCGCCACAAGTGGACCACCTTTGTGGAGTACTTTTCTGCCATGTGCTGGAAGCAGCTCGCGACCGGCTCACCGCTAGTCCGCCCGGGTCTCCTCGGCCTCCGGGCTGTCATCTCGCAGTCGGCCATTCTCGACACTGAACTTGTCGACGTGCTCTCTTCGATTGTGCCGGCCATTGTATCAAACATGTCGCGCAACGACTCGACGCTGCCTGACGAGCTGCTGGCGGCGCATCCGTTTGTGTCAGGCGCGGTGCGTCGGCGGCGGTCGGGCGGCGGGCGAGGCGGGCGGCGGCGGTCGGGCAGAGCAGGCGGTGGTGGGGGCCGTCGGGGCAAGCGCCGCCGGCGCCGGCGGCAGGCCAGCAAGCGTGACGACGACTCGATGGTGAGCGTCGATAAGCCGTCATCGTCGTCATCGTGGTCGTCGGCAACGGCATCGCGCGACGCCGCCGGCTCGGGCACGACCTCGCGGTCGGATGCTGCCGGGTCAGACGCCAGCGCGTCCGACGTCAGCCTGGACGACGTGGCGCTCTCGGCAGTCGGCGTTGACCTCTCGCGCGAGCGCATCGACGAGCTGACCGAGGCCGAGCTCGCTGGCCTTGCGCTCTACGAGATGGGTGCACATGCCAACTCAAGCACGCTCCGCACCATCATCCGCACGCTGCTGGACTACTTTACCACCGGCGAGATGTGGACCGAGTCGGGCGTCTTTATTGGCAAGGTCATGCGCATTCTCATGGCGGCCGTCGGCGTCTCCTACCGCTACGTCCCGGTCCAGTCTGCGCTCGAGTACCTTCCAGCTGTTCCGCACACAGCGACCAAGGCGCGGATTGTCGACCTGGCCTGCTCGCTCCTTGCCACCTCGCGGGTCCCGCTGGACACCTCGACTGCGCTGCAAGTCCTCAACCAGCTTGTAGCCACTCTTGCGGGCGCTCGCGGCGAGCTGCGCAAGGCTATTGTCAACGGCGTCCTCACCCTTGCGCAAGCGCTGCCGACGTCGTCGGAGCGGCTGGAGCTCCTGCTGTTCCTCGGCTCGAAGCTCTCGTTCTGCGCCGCCGACGAAGCCGCTGTCCCGCTCCTCGACGCCGCCACCGCGGTCGCGTCGACGCTGGCCGCCATCGCGCCCGCCAAGATCGCCTTCCTCGAGCCGCTCCTCGACGCGCTCACGGTTGCAGCGTCGGCGCCGTCGACCGCCAACCGCGTCCGCGTCCACAAGGTCTACGCCCACCTGTTCTCGGTTGCGGCCGAGAACCAGGGCTTTGAAGCCAAGTACGGCTCGCAAGTCCGTTACGCCATGTACTTTCTCATCACCCAGCGGCGTATTGTCGTTCACCCGTGTGACCTTGCAGCCATGGCTGAGACCCTTGCTGTCCTCCTGCGGACCGCGCTCGTCGATGAGGTTGCGCAGACCGTGCCGATGCTGTTCAAGCTGCAGGAAAAGGCCTCGACGCTCCCTCCGCCACTGGCCTCTTCGGTCCACACCTTTATCGGCGGCTACCTCCGCGCGCTCGGCGAGCGAGTCCAGTCGGCCGAGCTTGTCGACCACGTTGACCGTGTCGCTGCTGCCCGCTCCACCGCCGGGCTCATCTGCCCGTACGTTGCACTTGACGCCGACGCCGGCGACGCTGCCCGCCTCTACCTCGCTACCGAGACCTCCAAGTATCCAGCGCACGTCGTCACGGTTTTGGAAGACTTTCTGGCGGCGGCCGGCGGTGGATCGGGCTCCGACTCGGAGGCCTCGCCACGCGGGAGCGAAGGCCGGCGGTCGCGACGCAAGCGCAAGTCGCGGCGCGCCCGCGCAGCCGCCCGCGCCATCGACCCGATTGTGCCACCGCTGTTTGAGAAGGAGGTTGTGGTCTCGTGCCTCCTCTCTGCCGACGTCATCCGCGACGCCGACATCAACGTGGAGCAAGTCCTCGACTCGGGTTGGTCGTCTGCGCAGATTGCCAAGGAGCACCAGACCATTCTCGCGCGGCGCAAGCACAAGCAGCATCTCTTCCACAAGCTTGCCGCCATGGCCGGCATGTTTACCTCGCTGCACAAGGCCGCCAAGGAGGCCGGGCTCGACTCGGCCGCGCGGCGCAACGATCTTGCCGCGTCGGACGTCGAGCTCTTTGCTGACATGTTCCGCGACGGTGCCTCGCTCGCAGCGCCACCCGACGCCCGCTCGGCGTCGATGCCGGTCTCGGTTGCCCTCCACCAGTCGCACGACGCGATGGCGGCATCCTGCGCCGCAACTCGCGGCGCCCGGCTTGACCGTGCCGCAATTCTTCTCGGCGACGTCGAGACTGCGGCTTCTGACGCGCTGGTGGGGCAGTCGACCGCGGCACTCGCTCTCGGCGGCTCGTCCGAGCTCGACGAGTCCGAGTCCGAGGCCGGCACGACGGTTCTGGCAACCACCTCGCGCGGCGGCTACGGCATGGCCTTTCCGTCGCTCAGCCGCTACTCGGCGTTCTCGGGCCCACCAGCTCATGGGCCTGATGGACAGGGGAGCGGAGGCATGGCTGGGGTGCTCGCTGTGCGGCGCACGCCTGCACTGCCGGCGGGCGTCACGCTTGTGCAGAACGACTCGTCGCTGACGCCGATGCAGAACATGTCTGCCACATTCGACTTTACCACGTGGGCTGCCCGGACATCAGGCGGCCCGCTCAAGTTTGCCGAGTAAAGGTGCGTCGTCTCGGGCTACTGGAAGACGCGGAGCGAGCGGGCAGGCGGCGGCGGGACGCGGCTGGCACCGGCGGCGCGAGTGCCGCGGCTTCCGAGTGCGGCGCGGGCGCCGTCGGGCGCGGTGTCGCGGCAGATGGCCAGGGGCGAGGCGTCCGGATCGGAAAAGTACTTGCCCTTGGCCCGAAAGTGCGAGATGAGATTGGCTTGGCCCTGAACGTGGGCAAAGGCAAGGCGGCAGACCTTGTCCGAGTTGTACCGGCGCCAAGAGGCGCCGTGCAGGGCGCGGTAGGCCTGGGCGAGCGCGGCTGGAGAAACAAAGTTAACAAAGGCGTAGCCGACGTTGGCCTTGTGGTGGGCGTCGACGGGAAGGTATACAAAGTCGAACTGCCCGCTGAGGTGCGCGTCGGTGAGTGCGGCGAGCAGATCGTCGCGGCGGTAGCGGTTGGGGATGTTGCGGATCATGGCAGTTGTCCGCGTCTCGTCGCCGACCTCAAGGGCGTCGACCGAGATGACGCACGCCGGGTCTGGCTGACGGCGGCGCGGCTTGCGCGACGTTGAGCTGTCGCGTGATGACGAGCGCGACGAGCGCGATGAGCGCGAGTGAGTCCGTGACGACGAGCGGGTCTTGGAGCGGGTCTTGGAGCGGGTCCGTGTGCGGGAGCGCGAGCGCGACGCCGACGCTGAGCTCCACAAGCTGTGTCCGGTCGGCTTGCTCTCCGCCAGCGAGGCCGACAGCAGTGACGGTCTGTTGAGCGGTGGCGAGCACGAGGCGTCTGAGTCCTGGTTGGCCGACGGCAGAGAGTTGGAGCGCTTGCTCGACGAGAGCGGTGCATTCATCAGGCCCGAGATCGGCGCCAGGTAGTCAGAGCCAGGCTCCGGGACTGCGCGCGGCGGACGTGATGGTGACGAGACGTGCTTGACCACATTGACGGCGGCGTCCGGCGGGAGGACCGAGCACGATGTTGAGCGCGAGCGCGAGCGCGGCGGCGAGTGCGCCATAGGCGACGACATCGGCGAGTTACTCGGCGTGCCGACCTCCCACTGAACACCGTGCGTTCCGGGCTTCGACCGCGCCCGCTCCACTAGCATGGGCAGCTCACCGACGCCGCTGGCGTCTGGATGCGGCGGATCGGCGACGGCGGCGGCGGCGGCACGCGCGTCGTAGAACTCGACAAAGCGGAAGACCTTGTGCCGCTTAGCGGCGACGTGCGAGACTCGCCGGATGTCGCCGTACGGGCTAAAGAGCGAGACCATGTGCGTCAACGAGACCGAGGGCAGGACGTTAAAGACAATAATGAGTGAGTCCTGGTCGACGTCGGCGGCAACAAGCTCGCGCTCGGGCGCACCAGGCGGCGCAAACCGCACCGCAATTGTTCGCCCGTCAAAGACGGAGCCGTCGAGCCGCTCTTGCGCGGCAAGCGCGTGGCGGAGATCGTAGAACGACGCCACCATCATGGTGCCGTCGTCAGAGGCAGAGTCGAGCGCCCGGAGCTGGCCGGCCTCCTCCAGCATCGACATCAGTGGTGACCGAGGAGCGTTGCGGCGCAGGCCCGAGATGATGAGCATGCGCGATGGCTGCAACCGTGCTCCACGCGAGGCACGCTGCGCCTGTGCAAGGAGTCCGGCCTCCATCGACACCGCCTGCGACGAGAGCGACGACGAGAGCGACGGAATGCACATCAGTGGCACAAGCCGATCGTCCGGGAGCGACGATGCGACTGCAAACGAGCTGGCAGCCGCCATGTGCGGGACAAAGACTGGTCGCGAGCGGCCGCTGGTCAAGTTTCCGGATCCCAGCTCCGGCACCGATCGTGTGGCCGAGTTGAGCGTCCTGGCATCGTCACCGGGCGAGCTGGCGAGCGTCTCGCCTGACGACCAGGCCGAGAGGCTGGCCGCGACCGGCGGGTGGCCGCCATCGAGTGCTCTCAAGACCGGTGACGAGGCCATGGATGATGCACCAGGCTCGGGGTCGAGGTCGAGCAGCGGCGACAGGCCACTGTCGGACTCGTCCGACTCGAACCCGTACGGTTCGTGGTGTGAAAGCGGCATGGCCATCCAAGACGAAGGGGGTAGCTGTGCGGGTGTAGAGCGAGAAGTGATAGCGGGTTAAAAAATGTGAGTGAAAACGTTTGCATTTCGCCGGGACTGCCGACACGTGGGCCGCTTCTGACGGCCTCTCCTCACTCTTACCACCTATACCATGCTCATGCCTCAGCATCTTGCCACACCAGGAGTACAACCACAAGACATGGTATCCATCATCCACATCATGTGGTTGACGAGTTGTCACGACTCCATTATCACAGTGGGTGGCCTCTGGCGGGAGTGCTCGGCGAGTGTGCGGGATGGCGTCGGATGGACAGCAGCCGGCGGCCAAGAGAGCCGAGGTGCTGCGCGGAGAAGGTAACCACGAGAAAACTGCAAGGTTTGATACCAAGAGACACTGATCACAAGCTCAAGTCGCCCACAAAGATATCAAGCTTGGCGATGGTTGGTATATGAAACCTTGTACGGCATGAGGCTTGTAAAGAAAGCGCCGTCCCCGCAGGCGTGTCGTGCCACTCCATCCACCATCTGCGCCACCACCGGACACGACAGAAGGGGCGGGGGGGTGTGGCCAGGTCGAGGTGTGGCATGAAACCAGGCATTATAACAGACATCAGACATGATCATCATGTATAGAAACTGGGCTAGCTGAGGTACGTACGTCTTTTAGGAGGAAGACCGGGAGCTTCGCTTGATGGAGATGGGTGGTTGGCCAAGGCTTGACGTGCCTGTGCTGCTGCTGCTTCTTCCACCGCCTGCCTTTCACTCTCTCCACCGCTAAAATGATGGCTACTCAATGATTATCCATCGAGTGTCCAAGCCATCCGGGTGTGGTGGAGCAGGTGCTGGAAAGCGTGCGTATGGGCATGCGTCTTTATTGGCTGCTGATCGTATCGGGGGTAGCCCGGTGGGCTATGATCAAGGAAGGAAGGAAGGGGAATGAGGAGTTGCTCTTGGATGAGTCGGGCGCGGCCGGGGAGGCGGGCGGGTGTGGCGCGGAGCCTATTGTGTGCGTCAGGCAAGCAGCCTATAACGCTCTCAGAATATGGATCTGATCAATCCGTACGGCTTGGATAACGTTTGGTGTTTACTGACATTGATGGCCATCTACTGGTGTGGCAATGTAAGGTGTGAGTCATTGATGTGGGTCATTGATGTGGGCAAGATGGTTGGGCGGCCTGGCCGTCGGCGGGCGTCGGGTGTCGGGCAGATCAGCACCGTCTATGGTGTAGGCGTATGCCTTGGTTCGGACAACACTCAACTCTGAACACTATGGCCTCCAACTCGTCGTTCTCGTCTGTGCGCCTGTCCGAGATGGACAAGTGGGTCCGTGCCAACGGCGGCGTGTCTGGCATTGCCAACCGTGCCATGCGCAGCTATGCGTCCAAGTTCATGGCCCGCCCGGGCAACCTCGCCGCTCCGGTCATGCACCTCATGGTCGGCGCCATGGCCATTGGCTACATCCTTGAGATCCCGCACCTCATGGGTACGTTCCACACATCCACTCTCTCCCTTTACCCATGCCCCTCCATGCCTCTTCCATTGCCAGTGCTGTCGCCGCGCCCCCCGCCCTCCCCTCCGCCTTCCCTTCACCCTGGTGTGGGACGGAGGATGACTTTGGCCCAACTTGTTCCCGCTGGCGGCGGGTCGGTCGCCAGCACCTCCCACGGCGACAGCATTGCAGTCAGTTTCACAACGTGAAGCACATAACCACAGCACCATGTCACCGACAACATCCTCAAGTTGTGGCTTGATTGCTGCTTTCTACGGCCTGGGTTGGGCTTGCGCTTGGACGAGGGCGACGCGTTGAATTTTTGGGGGGGCGACAGCTCGCCAGCTGGCCAACCAAACCAGCCTGCAGCCGGCCACGCTGTCATCTACCGGCTGCATCTGTTGCAGCTGCCATCGCGCGGCATCGAAAACATGACTCACAGAGAGAGCGAGGAATGGATGACCAACGTGTGATACAGCCCACGAGCAGCAGAAGAAGTACCATTGAGTCGTGTCCCAGCTCGGCGACCTTGCCGCGCGCGTCTATCAATACACACCTCCATCAGCGTACCGGACTGAGATGCAGACATGGAGAGAAGCGAGAGGGGGAAGATGAGGGAGGTGGAGAAGGCGAGTGTGCGTGCCTACTCTGGCTAGGATGCAGGTAGTGCGAGGCGATGTGAGCCGTTGATCCTTAGTTGATAGATGGTACTAGCGCACGTTGTGATGGAGGCTACCCATCCGTGCCATCGGTGCGGACTCGGCCCGTACACCGCTATGCAACCAACTGACTGACCGCACTCAGCTTGGGTATGCTGTACTGAGCTGTGGCCGGCAAGAGTGTGGGGACTCTCAGCACCGGTGAACGGTGAAACTGACGACCGTCTCACCAGAAGTTGACACTCCTCTGCAGGCACCGGGAGCATGGCGGCGAGGGTGCGATGCACGGTGTTTATCAACTCTGAGAACTGCGGTTCTGGACATGTACGCATTTACCACACATTAGCCATACCTCCCCTCCCTCCCTCCCCCCCCCCCCCCCCCAGATTTTCAGGAATTCTTGTCTCGGGGCCCCGATAATATTGGGTTCGCCGGGGGGGGGAGCCCCAATTTCTAGAGGGGGGGCGTGTGGTCTCGGTCTCGGCCGTGCCAGATATTGAGGCAAAGACACCACCCTGCTCCCGCACCTGCTCCCGCACCTGCTCCGAATCTCTCCCATCTGCTTCCCTCCCCCCCCCCCCTCCCTCCCCCCACCTTTGAGTGGAGGGCAACGTTGTGATGGTATTGTGTATAGGTGTGTGGGTGTGTGGGTGTGTGTGTGGAGGGGTTGGGTTGGAGGCGGCGCCAGTCGATCTGGTGTGGTCTTGTGTGGTATGGTCTCACTCACTCGTCATCATCATGGGTGTCGGTATTGGGTGGTGTCTGGTCATGCTGGTCGTGGTGGTTGTGGTGGTCGCCGGTGGTCGCGGGTGGTCGCGGTGGTCGTTCGGCTGCCGGTCATCGCGGTACGTGGTCGATGGCCTCGCTCGACTTGTTATGAATGTGCGTGCAGCTGATTGCGGTGCCGGATACGATGGAAGCAATGCTGGAAAAGTGCGGGCAGAAGCTCGGACTGGCGGCGGCGGGCAGCATCTACACCGAGAACGGAGCGAGGGTAGAGGATGTGGGGCTCATCTCGAATGATGATGTGCTTTATGTGGCCGAGGGCTCGGAGCCGTTCTTCCGCGAGTCCAAGGGCAAGAAGGCCAAGAAGGGCACGGCCGTTGCGGTGCACAAGATTGCTGTTCTGGGCTCGGGAGGTGTGGGTAAGTCGTGTCTGACGATGCGGTTCTGCAGATCGACGTTTGTGGATGTGTACGATCCGACGATCGAGGACTCATTTCATCGGCACCTGACGCTTGATGGCTTCCCGGTCCTTCTTGACATTCTGGATACTGCTGGGCAGGAGGACTTTGTGGTGCTTCGGAGGCAGTGGGTTGAGGACCGCGACGGGTTCATCCTCGTCTACTCTATTACTGACGACACGACGTTTACGGCGGCGCTCGATGGCTTTGTCGATCTCATCCGCGAGGTCAAGGGTGAGAGCTTTGCTTCTGTCCCGCTAGTGGTTGTGGGCAACAAGTGCGATCTGGACGATCAACGCGAGGTGCCGACCGACCAGGGCGAGGCCTACGCGTCCAAGCTCAATGAGCAGGCGCGGTTCCTTGAGGCCTCGGCGCTGACCAACCACAACGTCACCGAGGTCTTTCACGAGATCATCAAGGTCTTCCGCCACTGGGACCCGCCCAAGTCGACCAAGAAGGGATTCTGCGTTCTGCTGTGAGGCGCAGTGCGCCAGCCCCTTCTACCTTCTTCCTCCCTCTTCCCCCTTCCCCTTTGCTCCCGCTTGCCCTCCAGTCGCTAAACTCAAGCAACTTGTAGTATGACGCTGCGGCATGCGCTCATGTTATTCGAGACACAAGCTTGCTACACACCCATGGTGTGGCGGCCGTCGGCTGAGTTGCGGTGCAGGATGGCCGGGCCCTCCTCGTCGTAGTCGAAGCGCGAGATCCAGGTCTGCTGCGAGAGGTCTGCCGAGATAGAGCCACCAATCCAGACCGAGTAGGCGCGCTCGGGCGGGGCGATGACACGGATGCGCATCGACTCGGGGATGAGGGCCTCAAGGTCGCGGGTGAGGCGGTCCTCCAGGCCCGGGAAGAGAGTGGAGCCGCCGGAGAGGATGATGTTCTCGTACAGCTCCTTGCGGAGGTCGATTTCGGTCTTCTGGATGGTCTCGTAGACAAGCTTGGGCAGGCCAAAGGCAGTCGCCTTCTCAAACCCAATCATCGACGGGTTGAAGAGAACCTCGGGGACCGAGTACACCTCGGGGCCGAGCGAGACCTTGAGGCCGTTGCTCATTTCGTACTCTGAGGGCGAGGCGGCGGCAACGTCGGTGTCGTAGTCGAGTGAGACCTGGCAGACCTTCTCCTTCAAGCTCTTGACGGCCTCCATTGTCGTCGCGTCATCCTCGAGTTCGTGGCCCTTGTCGGTGAGGAGCGAGAGCATGCGGGCCGTCAGGTCGCGCCCGGCCATGTCGAGCCGGTGAATAGCCCGCGGAATGGCGTAGCCCTCGACAACAGGCACCACATGCGTCACGCCCTCGCCGCAGTCAAGCACCACGCCGGTCGTCCGCCCGGACGCGTACAGAGCAAGCACCGCTTGCAGCGCAATGTTGAGCGCAGGCACCCCAAAGGTCTCAAACATGATCTCCGCCATCTTCTCACGGTTCTTCAGGGGGTTGAGCGGTGCCTCGGTGAGGAGCACAGGCTGGTTCTCCGGGTCAACGTCGTCGAGGCCCTCGAAGAAAATGTACTCCCACATCTTCTCCATGTCGTCCCAGTTCTCCACCTTGCCGTGGATCATCGGGTAGCTGTTCGTCACACGATACCGTCGCCACATGAAGCCGCCACATAGCGAGGTGTCAAGCAGAGAGTCCCCAGTCCGTGCACCACCAGTCCATCCACGCACCAACCAACACGACGACAACGACAGCAACGACGACGACCCCAACCCCATCAAACCATCCATATCCATCCATCACCACACCATAACCCATGAGTCCATTCCCTCTTTCTCGTCCCCCCCCCCCCCCCCCTCCCCCCCCCTCCTCCCCTCCACCTCCACCTTCACCTCTACCTCCCACCGTATCTATCCCCCCCAAGCCACCTGGCCAACATTTCCTGCACGCCCAAGCGCAAGCAGTGCCATTGCCTCGCCCTCCCACCCTCACCCACCCACACATACCGAAGGTCCAGCTGTCCGCGCATCTCTTCCGCAGCATTGCCAATGTAGTACTCATCCAGCTCGTCCTCCAGGCCCTCTTGCGGGGAGCCTGTGTATGTGTATGTGTGTGTGTGTGTGTGGGGGGGAAGAAGGGGGGGGGGTGCGGGTGAGTGTGGGGGGAAGGGAAAGGGGTGGAAGGAGGGGAAGGAAAGGGGAAGGGGAAGATGGTATGTGTGTGTGTGTGTATGGGGGGATAGTGGTGGTGGTGTAGGGGGTGTATATGTGTTTGTGTGTGTGTGGGGGGGGGGGGGGGAAGGTGGTGGTCGACTGCGTCCTGCGTGCGGGTAGGTCACTACGGACGGGTATGGGCATGGGGGGCAGCGGGAGGACCAGGTCGACAAGGATACGTACCAATGACGGCAGGGAAGACAAGGGATGGGGCATCCTCTCCGGCAAAGCCGGCCTTGATACGGCCGGTCCCGTTGTCAATGACTACAGCTGTCTCATACTCAATCTCAGACGAGTACGCAGACATGGTCGATTGGAGGCGTCAAGTGTGTCGCACTCGAGAGGTCTCACACCATCAAGGCCATCTTCGACGTAGCAATCGATACTGGCCAAGTTTGCGCTTTATCAACAGCAGTCTCGGATAGGAACCCGTCGGCTGCGGTGGGCAGAGAGCGATGGCTCCAAAATTGGGTAGGCTAGCAGAGCAGTTGCTTAACCGAACATGTCGAACATGCCCGACATCTCGGACGACGAGTCGTCGTTGCCCGAGTCGTCGGCGGCGGCGGCGGCGGCGTCGGCAGCGTCACCAGAGGCGGCAGCGGCAGCCTGGGCGGCGGCGAGGGCCTCCGGGTCGTCGAGCAGAGCCTTGAGCTCGGCGATCTCCTTGATGGTGTACTCGGAGCCGAGCGAGACGAACATGACGTTCTTGAAGCCGTTGAGGATCGAGTGCGGCACCGAGACGACGGTCGGGTAGTCGATGGCCAGCGAGATGGCACCGATGTCCTTGGCGGCGTTGGCGAGCATGGCGCCGATGTCCTCCGAGGTGAGGTCGAGGACGGCAGCATCGTAGACGACACCGTCGTCGTAGATGGTCTTGGCCTCAAGACCGTACGAGAACGGCTTGATGCCAAGCTTCTGGAGAAGCACAGCCTCGGAGGCCGAGACCTTGTCGCCCTTAGTGATGAGCTTGATGTCCGCCACGATCTCAATCTGGCCACGAGCAATCTTGGTGGCAATGTTGAGAGCCTGGAAGAAGGCAGTCAGACCGGGCTCCATGCCAGTCGGGCCGGCAGGGACGTCGACGTCGCACGGGGCGATGGCACCAGCCTTGGCCGGGGCACCGACACGGTTGGCACCGATGAGGGCGCGGATCTCGGCCGGCTCCTCGTGGGTGAAGACGAGGCCGACGTTGCCGACGATGAGCGGCAGGATGCGCTCGATCTTCTCGTCCTCCTCGGCGATGGCGCGAAGAGCACGGCGGATCATGGTGTTCTTGCCCATGAGCAGAGTAGCCTTGCCGCGGAGGGCAATGCGGATCTGCTGCATCTGCGACGAACCGACATTGTCAGCATCAACCAGGATGACCTTGGAGTACTCCTGGAAGAGGGCGACAACCTTGTCGTAGTAGGCAGCCTTCTTGGCAAACTTGGCAGCGCGTCCTCCCGATTCCATTTTGAGTGATGAAAGGGGCCTAGATAGATTTCAAGGACGTGTTAAGGGGGGTGGGTCGGCCTCTGTATCCACATCACCATGAGCAACTTGTGTGTGAGTCAGACAAAAAACACACCCAAAAATATCTCATCAACAACAGCGGGCACCCTCCCTGCTGTTCTCCTTGCACTTGCAGCTCATTGACCACCTCCTTGCCGAGGTAACCACTCTGCACAGAGTACATGGCACTAGTATTGTGTGTGTGTGTGGTAGGGGTGGTGGTGGTGGGGGAGGGGGAGGGGGGGGGTACTCCATGTTCATGGCATACGTACGTGAAGATCGACGTGGGGTATGCCGTCGTGAAAGTGGATGGCAACCGGCGAGCAAAGTCTGGCGTTTTGCTCTTGCGAACGAAAAGACACTTCCAATCGATTCCGAGGCGACGACGGCAATGGAAGGGGGGGTGGGAGGGGGAGGGGAGCGCAGATGCTTCATTGGGAGGAGCAGAGTAGAGGAGAGCCGAGATGGCGGCGGGCCGCTTAAAGCGTGTGAAGCGGATGGTAGGAGTCTATGACAGGTTGTTGACCTTGTTGAAGAGCGAGTCGACAACCTGCGACATGTTGTCGATGACGTCGAGCGAGGCGGCCAGGGCCTTGTCCTGCTTGGGCTCGTCGTAGACGATGAGGGCGTCGACGTCCTGGTCGAGGACGCCCGAGAGCTTACCGTCGAGGATCATCTTGGAGAGCTTGGACTCGACAACGTCGAGCGGGAGGGCGATGGTCTGTGCGATGTGAGCGACCTGGACCGAGGTGTACGGCTCGATGATGCGGAGGAGGTTAGCCTCGAACAGCGAGTCGTAGAGGGTCTTGAGGTGTGCGGCAATGACTGGGTCTTCGGCCAGGTGGGACGGGTACTCATCGATGGCGGCCTGGAACTTGTGCAGCGAGCGGTCGATAGCGGCGGCGGCGATGGCCTGCATGGCCGTCACGTGGTCGCCTGAGAACTTGAGGACGGCCTTGTTGTTGACGACCGAGGTCACCTCCTGTGGCTTGTCCATCATCACCTTGCACAGCAGCATGTACTTGAGCGAAGCGACAGCCAGCGGCTCGGTGTTGAGCTCGGGCATGGCTGCCAGCGAGGCGTAGCCCTCAAAGGCCTCGAAAAAGTACGAGTACGCCGTCTTGTAGTCCTTCTCCTCGGCCTGGAGCACGCCGGCCTGCGACTCGATCTGCGCCTGCATGAGCGGCGGGCAAAAGACCGCTGTCGACGACGTCCGCGCAGACGTCAGCGAAGCCTTGGCCTTGGGCAGGTTGCGCAGCGCGTGGTGGACCCGAGACTCCACAAGGTGCAGCTCCACGAGGAGCAGCTTGTCCTCCAGCTTCTTCACCTCCTTGAGCACCGGCGCCAGAAGCGTCAGCGACTTGGAGTACTCGCCGGCGTCTGCGTACATGCCTGCCAGCGACGCCTCCAGCCGCTGCCGCAGGAACTTGCGTCCTGTCTCCTTGGCCCACTCGATGAGACCCTCTGCGACAGAGACAGAGAGCACAGAGCCCTCGTCGACCTTGCCCAGCACCGTCAGCATCATTCGCACAATCTTTGCCGTCCGCGCCTTGGACATCATCTCTGCCATGCCCTTGACCACTTCAAACAGCTCCACAATGGCTCCGGCATCGCCCTGAGCCACGAGCACCTCGCCCAGCGCAACCAGCGCCTGCTCAGCAATCTTCTCCGGATCGTCCTCTATCCGTTCGCATGCACGTTCCACAGCCACAGCCACAGATCGACTCGGTATCACGTGAGTGTCCCTCTCTTTCTCTCCGCCATACCCTTCCTGCCGACGAGTGCGCGCCTGGAGGAATTTGCCGCTTCCCACCAGCACCGACCACAGGAGACCACCATGTCCACCACGTGTCCATGCATGACGTATGTGACAGCAGAAGAAATGGAGGGTATGTGTGTAGTATGTGGGAGGTAGTGAAAGGCAGAGTGTGTGGCTTGGTGGGGGTTGGAGCTGGCGAGTTTGGGTGGCCGGGGTGGGGGGGGGGGGGGGGCGGGGCGGGGCCGGGCACAGGTCGCCTTGACCACCGACCAAGCCAACCACAGGCACCTTTACCTCCACCGACCTCCACCACCTCCCCACCCCCAGTCTCCCACACACAAACCAGCTATATTCACCACTTCTATATCATACATACACACCCTCTCCCTTCCTCTCTCTGTCTATCTTCTCATCCCAGTCCCCCATCCCTACCCCCTGCCTACCCCCTACCCGCCCTACCCACCCTACCCACCCTTCCACCCCCTTCTACCACCACCATCATCACCATCATCACGTACTGGGATTAAGCTCAAGGAGCGAACGGTACTTGGTCACAGCCGCAGCTGGGTTGATCTCCTTCTCGGCATTGGCACGCTCAAACGTCTCCTTCACAGCTTCGTAGGACGCCGCCATGATACGTATGCCTCAAAGAGTCGGGTGTTGCCCTCGCCGTCGCCTTTGTCCACTCTAGCTCGCGCCGACTCCGCCTCCCCCCCACCATCAAGCACCGTACTTGCTGGGGGACACTTTAGCATCATCGCTGCCATCCACGCTTCCCATCATAGCCCACCACCAACCACCATCTATATCCGAACATGTTCATCACCTGTCCTGCTGCCAATCATGAGCGGACCTTGGTGGCATCGGGGTTCGGCATCTAGGCCCAGCTGCGGACCCCTCCCGTCCCGCCCGGCCCAACTCCCCACACCATCGCTGTGCATGGCTCTTCGCATCAATGACCTCTAATCATTATTCCGCCGCCCGTCACACGCATACAACTCGGAAATGAGGTGTGCAGCCATAGTAGTTGCCTGGGAAACGCATCATGCTCGCGCCATGGTGCGTCTGGCACGCCAGGCAAAGGCGACACAGGCGCCAGTGGCATGCTCTTAGCCATGATCACCAGCTGTGGAAGCTTGCACGATCGCATACACTGCTGCAGGTGGAGCGAGCTAATGATCGCATCCTCAACTACAAGTACTCGCACAGACTGCAGACCTTGAGCGTAGAATCGGACGCCTCGCCGCCCTTTACCTTGTTCGACTCGAGGTCAGTGAGCGGGTTGGCGGCGGTGGCGTTTGAGTTGGCGGGAGGAAATCGTTCGGTCTTTCGTTCGCTGGCGAATGAACCGACCATCGCAACACTTCACACAGCACACACAATGCCGCGGTACGTGAGAGGATGAGACAAAGGGAGTGAGAGAGTTGACAGCAGCCACGACCAAGTAGTATGAGTGCCTATCGTACTGGAGGTACCCACGCATGCGCTTGATATCTTAGCTTGTGCTTGGTTGCCTCCAAGGTAGTCCTCGTCTCCTTGGGGGTGGCGGTGGGATGGGAGCGAGGGAGAGAAAATGGGCTGAGGACTGCCTTTGTCGGCTCGTCCGCCATCCTCTCGGCCTCGCCACAGCGAAGCACAAGTGAGCGAGCACGCTCCAGTAGGGTATATGAGGTGTCTACGCTTGGTGCGCACATCGTTGACCTTCTGGTGCTCGTGTAAGAGTGTCTGTCCCCCCTGTGCTCCGCTCCCAAAGTCGGCCTGGCCTCGGCCTCGACCCGACCATTAATTTGGGTGTTCGGCCATCACCGACCACCGCCTAGGGGGCTCATACACAGCTGGTATGGGCAAGGGAGAAGAGATACAGACCATCGAACAGACTCACATCATTGCTCTATGTCCGTGCTACCCCACTACAGCACTTACGTCAAGGCTGTCCACGTTGGCTACAAGCGGTACGTCCCTTCTTCCCCCTCCCATTTTTGTATGACTTTGTCCTCCCCCCTTCCCCTCCTTCTCCTCCCCTCTCTCTCCCGCTCTCCCTCGCTACTTCCTCCCTCTACCACACGCCGCTGCTGTGGTCATTGTACTCGTCAACCCAGTGTTTATGCCCATTGCCTCCCCCATCTGCTGTCCTCGCTCCGTCTTGCTCTCTCTCGTCGCGCCAGCGCGTGCCGACCCGGCCCCCCCCCCCTTCCCACTCGACCGAGGCTCACCATTGGCCAGCTGGTGATCACCCGTTCCCCCACTTTGTCATTTTCACCTCCTCCCCCGCCCCGTCCCCCCCCCCTCCCCCCCGCCTACCACACGAGCCACACTCACGCATACGCTGGCATTGGCATGGTTACTGTAGGTCCAAGGTTGTCCACTACCCGCACACCTCGCTCCTCAAGCTTGAGGGCTGCAACACCCGCAAGGCCACCAACTTCTACGTTGGCAAGCGCGTCGCGTACGTCTACAAGGGCGAGAAGAAGGACCTCAAGGGCTCGACCACCCGCTACATCTGGGGCAAGATCACCCGCCCGCACGGCAACTCTGGCCTTGTCCGCGCCAAGTTCAAGCGCAACCTCCCGCCCCGCTCGTTCGGCGCCCCCGTCCGCGTCATGCTCTTCCCGTCGAACATCTGAGTAAAGTCCAACGGAATCAAGAGATCCCACGCACGCAACGCAATCGGCTCCACACACACCCGCTCTGTATTGTGTAGAGACTCGCTGGCTCCGACGATCCGTGCTCTCCCTACCTCCCACACCCCCAAGGCGAGGTCCTTGCCAGTCTAACGCCAATCAGAGTTCATTTCATCGCGCAGCAGTGCGTCAGCCATGTCTAGTCCATGCGGTTCTTGAGGTGGCGTGTGATGACCTCGTCCTTGGTGATGATGTGGACGACGACGCCCCAGCCCGAGACAGCGTCGCGGTCGACGCCGGCGAGCATGCACTGCGAGATGGTCTCGAACAGGTCCTCAGGCTCGAGATCGGGCTTGTACATCGACTCGCACGGACCGTAGAGGGCCTCGGACATGGTGCCCGAGACGGCAAAGCCATCCGGTGATGAGATGCAGCCGATCAGGTCGGTGCCGCCCACGTACGGCTCCACGCTTCCGTCAGGCTTGACCGTGAGGCCGGCCACAACAGGCTCCACAAAGTACGGGCCAAACCGCTTCGAGTACAGCGTCGAAGAGACCATCGCCAGAAAGGCTGACGGCGACATGTTGCGGTTCTCCCGGAGCGCAAACATGTTGTGTTTGAACTGGAACAGTGCGTCCAGCGTCTGCACGTCCGTCGCAAGCCCGGCCATGCCCAGATACAGGTAGTCGTGGATTTTGAAGACCTTCTGGAAGTCCGTCGCCACCGTCATTGCCTGGATGCCCAGCCGGGTATCCGACGCGATCGCCACGCAGTCCTTGCCCCTGCGCACCACGCCACACATGATGAGTCACCCCCCGCACACTATCACCTTCTCCTCCCCCCACCCTCACACCCTTATCATCGTCCTGTTCACGTACTTCATGGCGATGATGGCGGCGCCATTGTACGTCATGATGCTCTGTCATAGAGTGGCCACACCATGTGAGTGATGCGGGGAGGGAGGAAGGGGAGGGAGGGGGAAGGGGGACAATGCGGCCGTAGGGAGGACGGAAGGGGGAGAGGGAGAGAGGGAGAGAGAGAGAGAGAGAGAGAGGAGGGAGGGGAGGGGGAGGGGGAGAGAGGACGAGGAAGGGAGGTGGGGA